AGCCGTTTAGGAGGACGTCGACCCATGTCGCCGCGCGATGCTACTCCCGCGCCACTCGATCTTCGCCTCCCCTGCTTGCATCTCACCGGAGCAGGCCCCACCCCGTCGCCGGGAGCTCGCGCCAAGTACGTCGTCGTCCTCTGCTCGAGAACAAGTTCGTGCCGCCGACTGCTTCGCCTTGGATCCAGACGCCCATAGCCCGAGGCCGCCGTCCCACGCCTGGAGCCGCGCCCCTCCGTCCCCTGCGCCTCCGTCTCTTCCTCGCCACCACACTCCTGTTTCATGCCGCGCCGCTCCTCTGTTTCGAAACCGCTACAGTAGCCTCGTGTTGACCGGTCTAGCGCTAGCATGGACGAGCGCCACTCGCCCACGCGAGGCCACCGCTTCTCCCGCCGCAGCCCAGCTCCCTCGCGCGCATCTAGCCCTCCTCATCTGGCCCGTTTTGGCCCAATGTGAGCCGCTTCCCCCCAGCCCAGTTCAACTCAGTTTCAGCCCACCATGTGTTTCTTTCCTGCGTGCGATTTTATCAATTATCCAGAAAACTGCATGTTTACAGTTTGCCCCTGTTGTTCATGCATATCATATCTCACTAACCGTGCATCGAATTTAAACAAACTTAATATGTAAAATGCTTAGAATTTTGTGTAGTTTCATAATATGCCTTTTCATCCATGTTTAAAATGTTAAACTTGTTGTTTGCATTAATTTTCCGTATTGCCACGATAAAATGTTTTACTTCATAACTTAATAACCGTAGCTCCAAATTTAATAAACTTTATATGTAAATGGGGTAGAAAAATGCATAGTTTAACATGGTGTGCTTACTTTGCATGTTTAACAGCTCTAAAATTATGTTTAGGGCAGAAAAGCACCAAATTCATAATATTCATATGAGGACTTTTCCGGACTTGTTGTTTGTTATTTCCGGCCTCATTTAAACTTGCCTAGATAGGTAGTTTTATTATTCTTCACCTCTTGCCATGTTTAATAACATTTAATATTGTTGGGTACATAAACAAGAGTGAACTAAATGATTGAATTTGGTGTTTCGTCAATATGCAACTCGCTCCACTTAGTTTGTAGTATTGTTTGTGCACTTTGCCATGCCATGCCTCATTAAACCGGGCATGCATCATACTTGGTTGTGCATCATGCATGTTTATGTGATGGTTGTTTACGATGTTGCTTGCTTCTTTCCGGGCTGCTTCTCTCGTTAGCTTCGGTTTTGTTCTGGAGTTGTGAGGATTCGTTCGACTACGTTGGTTCGTCTTCTTCATGGACTCATTCTTCCTCCTTGCGGGATCTCAGGCAAGATGACCATATGTAACACCCTCGATGCGGCTATATCTCCCACGTGTCGAAGCACGACTTAGAGGCATAACCGCATTGAAAGCAATGTCGCAAGTGAGGTAATCTTCACACAACCCATGTAATATATAAGGGAGAGAGATACATAGTTGGCTTACAATCGCCACTTCACACAATTACATGAATAAACCATTACATCATCCGATACAATCAAGGTCCGACTACGAAACCAAAATAAAAGAATACTACCCCAAATGCTACACAGATCCCCGATCGTCCCAACTGGGCTCCACTACTAATCAACTAGAACGAAACAAAACAAAGGACAAGGTCTTCCTCGAGCTCCTCCTTGAGCTTGGTTGCGTCACCTGCACAACGGTCTCGGGGCGTTACACCATACCCTCGAAATCACTTCTATCTTTGCTTGCTAGTTGTTCGTTCTATCACTATGTCGCGCTACCTACCACTTGTTATATCCTGCCTCCCATATTGCCATGTCAAGCCTCTAACCCACCTTCCTAGCAAACTGTTGTTTGGCTATGTTGCCGCTTTTGCTCAGCCCCTCTTATAGCGTTGCTAGTTGCAGGTGAAGTTGAAGTTTGTTCCATGTTGGAACATGGATATGTTGGGATATCACAATATCTCTTATATTTTAATTAATGCATCTATATACTTGGTAAAGGGTGGAAGGCTCGGCCTTATGCCCGGTGTTTTGTTTCACTCTTGCCGCCCTAATTTCCGTCATACCGGTGTTATGTTCCTTGATTTTGTGTTCCTTACGCGGTTGGGTGTTATGGGAACCCCTTGACAGTTCGCTTTGAATAAAACTCCTCCAGCAAGGCCCAACCTTGGTTTTACATTTGCCTAACAACCTATTACCCTTCCCTTGGGTCGGCCAACCCGAGGGTCATCTTTATTTTAACCCCCCTGGGCCAGTGCTTCTCTAAGTGTTGGTTCGAACTAGAGCCCCTTGTAGTGCCACCTCGGGGAAACTTGAGGTTTGGTTTTAGTTGTACGGATTGCTCATCCGGTGTTGCCCTGAGAATGAGATATGTGCAGCTCCTATCGGGATTGTAGGCACATCGGGCGGCTTTGCTGGTCTTGTTTTACCATTGTCGAAATGTCTTGTAACCGGGATTCCGAGACGGATCGGGTCTTCTCGGGAGAAGGAATATCCTTTGTTGACCGTGAGAGATTGTGACGGGCTAAGTTGGGACACCCCTGCAGGGTTTAGACTTTCGAAAGTCGTGCCCGTGGTTATGTGGCAGATGAGAATTTGTTAATGTCCGATTGTAGAGAACTTGACACTTAACTTAATTAAAATGCATCAATCGCGTGTGTAGCCGTGATGGTCTCTTTCCGGCGGAGTCCGGGAAGTGAACACGACCTTGTGTTATGTTTGAACTTAAGTAGTTTCAGGATCACTCCTTGATCACTTCTAGTTTCACGACCGTTGCGTTGCTTCTCTTCTCGGTCTTATTTGTGTATGTTAGCCACCATATATGCTTAGTGCTTGCTGCAGTTCCACCTCATTACCTTCTCCTACCCATAAGCTTGAATAGTCTTGATCTCGCGGGTGTAAGATTGTGAGTCCTCGTGATACACGGATACTTCCAAACAGTTGCAGGTGCCGATGATACCGGTGCAGGTGACGCAACCGAGCTCAAGTGGGAGCTCGATGAAGATCTTGATCGTTGTTATGTGTCTTTTCCGGATGATCAGTAGTGGTGCCCAGTTGGGACGATCGGGGATCCAGCATTTGGGGTTGTCTTCTTTTATTTTGGTTCCGTAATCGGACCTTAATTGTATTTTGGATGATGTATGTTTAACTTGTATTTGTGTGAAGTGGCGATTGTAAGCCAACTCTTTATCCCTTTCTTATCCAGTACATGGGATTGTGTGAAGATTACCCCTCTTGCGACAAACCTATCATGCGGCTATGCCTCTAAGTCGTGCCTCGACACATGGGAGATATAGCCGCATTATGGGTGTTACACTCAGCTAGCGACACGTAGGATGGGGGCCCGCCCATGTGCGTCTTCTTCCTCCTTCTCTTCTCTCGTCGCTCGTCTCTGCCTCTTATTTCTCTGCCTCCTTCCCAGGCCCCGCTGCCATGGTCAACCGTCGCCGCCCGGAGGCCTCCTAGGGCGCCGTCGCCGGCTACCCTCGACCAGATTTGCTTTGGATTCACGCCACCGGAGCTCTGCCTACCTCCCCGGTTCTGGCCACGTCAGAGTTGCAACCGTCCATGATGAGACTACACCCCTCGACGCAATTTTGCTGGAACCGACAGATGTTGAGGGTACAACCATGGCGATTTTTTGCTACAACCGACGAGACTCGGTGCTACAACCTCCCGGGGCAAAATTGCTGGAACCGGCGGACGTCGAGGTTACGACCATGGGAATTTTTTGCTACAACTGACGAGCATCGGTGCTACAACCTGCATCTCTTGTTGCTACAAACAGTCATGGCAAGACGACGGACGATGATTAATTTGTTACAACTGTTGTTGGTTTTTCTACTACCGGCGATCATTTTTGTTGCATCGGTGACGGCAGATGACACAACCGCCGGCATGGGGTGCTACAGCTAGACAAGGGGAGCTGCAACCATGGCCACAAGAGCTGGAACCCGTAGTCTAGCGGAGCTGCAATGGCGGTCCGGTGGAGCTGCATTTTTTGCTTCAACCGGCAGCAGGAAAGCTACAATCGGCACTCAGATTTGCTACAAACAGGCAAGCATGAAAGCTTCCACTGGCGTGGGTTTTTTGCTGCAACCATGGGTGGGCTTATGGAACTGCGGCTTTCCAGGAACGAGTATGGCTAGCGGCGGCTAGCCAACGAGGTCATCGGCATTGGGGGTGGTCGGGACCAGTGGGGTTTGATTTTTCCTTTTTGCTGGGTCCATTTTTTTGCTGCATAAGAGGGGGCGGGCCATGGGGCACCAGTGTTCCAACTGGCGAGTGGCGACGGCGACTGCGAGGCGTGCGGTTGCGACAGCGCAGCGGTGCTTCGTGGTCGCGCATCCATGACGGCCCTGACTGGCTCGCTCCTCTCTATGTGTGCTGGAGGCGAGGATAAGGCAAGAGAAAGGTAGAAGAGGAGCTGTGATCTGACGGTCCCATGCAGCTGGGGGCAGACCAACCGAAACTTTCGGCCGGCGCACCGGCGCCCAGTGCTGCCCTTTTTCAAAGTCCAGTCATTTGCGTTCGCAAGTTGGGCAAAAGGTAGGCCGAAGAAGCCGAGTATGAGTGAAATTCCAAATGTTGCATCTTCAAGGTCGACCCAAAGGCTTTTACACGTTCTCATCGGAGCTAGTACAAGTTAGCTGTCGATGCTGAAAATGGTATCAGCACAACATTCTTGATTGATATATACGGAGTATATATATAGACCTAAAAAATTCTTTTTCTTTTTGAAAAATGAATCTGAAATGGTTCATGGCATAGCACCAACTGAATAACGGGTGCCTTCAGTTTCAGACACTTATAGAAGCCGATCGATGAGTGCCCCTTACGGGTACTCTAGTTACTCACCTGATGCACTAGATGGACAGCAAGATATGAACAACGTATACAGTTCATGACGGTTTTAGATTTATAACTTGTCCTGTCATAACATGCAGACATTCCTCCTTCCTTTAGAACATATTCTGCGCTGACAGCTTCAACGAAAGCAATGGTCCAAAGATCAGGCATCTGCCATCCAAATATCTGCTAGACAGGCGACACTAACAAAAAGAACTCCCAAGTTTACATGTTATTATCAGCCTGCGGCTCAAACAAAAGGAGGGCAGACTGAAACTGAAACTGAAACTACTGACGAAACATAGGTTTAATAGCAGCACAGAGTTCTTGCTATAGATCTGACACGGTTCTTGCGAGTGTGTGCCATCAGGAACTTTGACTCACATCTTCAGCTCCGTCGTCCATGTTCCCTGGACGCTTGGCCTTTTCGTCACGTGTCTGGTTCTCAGCTTCACGACTTTCCTGCCCAGAGAACACCTTAGCCTACTAGCTTGCAACATTATGTCCTCAGGTGCCAAGTTTCTGACGCAAACAACTCTCTCGTTATGGTTTTCTGCACAAGAATGACATTGCTTAAAAATGATACTCCCTCCTTCTATCTATATAGGGCCTAATGCGTTTTTCGAGGCTAACTTTGACCAAATATTTGAACAATAATATATGACATGCAACTTACACAAAGCATACCGTCATATTCGTATGTGAAAGGAGATTTCAATGATATAATTTTCACATTATGCATGTCATGTACTATTAACCTTGCCAATAGTCAAAGACGGTCTTAAAAAACGCATTAGACCCTATATAGATGGAAGGAGGGAGTAACTTAGAACATAAGCAACTACAGCCACGCGTTCATGAAAAATAACAAGGGTGGCGTATTGATATGAATCTGTGTCGCGATGACATGTGAGTGGGTCCTGTCAATGAGACAGGGAGTGGTACTCCCAGTCATGCCAATCTTTTGGGTGGCATATATGAAAATCTCCTAATAACAAACATACACCAAAAGAAAAGCAGATTCTGGATGGATGTTTGGTTTGAGGAGTAACCTCCTCCTGCAATCATCACATACTATAAGGTTGGTTTCGTTAGTGCAATGAAATGGAATTATTCTTGGGCTAAACACTAGGAGAGAGAGAAAGTACTTAAATTTGTGAAATGTATCCCACAGAACATGTTAAATGAGCCTGCTCCCCCACAAAATCTGCACTTGTCCTAGAACAAGTGCACCACTGAAACAAAACATGTCAACGTTTCCTTAAGAAGATTTATTCACTCAAAAGGCACACAGTTAACCATAATACCATATCATTCTTGAACCATGTGGGTTCACCTTTGAGCTCTTGAGTGTGTCAAGATTCATCACACGTATTTAAGCACATGGAAGACATGGGTGGCAAAAATGCGTAAACCAAGCGACTTCACCTGTTGAGCATGTCCAATTCATCACAAGTACTTAAGCACATGGAAGACGAGTGACAAATGACACGGTGCTGCAATTCTCAACTAAATACAGGAACTGTAAACTACAGTGCTTGACTGCAGCAGATTCATGAAAATCAACTAATTATATGCATTTGGTAAGTACCAACACAAAGATCCCCCTCACTGCCAGAAAGTAAAATCATTATAAGTAATACAGTTACCATATAACCCCTGGTAACACTAAAATGGTCAAAAGGAAAGGAGGTTCTTACTGTAAATGCCCTTCAAGTTGGGATGCTGACCACGGACAAGCTGTGTCACCACCTCTAACTGGGGATTCTTTTCCTTCAGAGCTGGAAGATGCGACTCCATAAAAGCCCTGCAATTCCAAGGAGCTCTAGTCGTAAAGGAGCAAGCAAATTGAAGCACCTAATTGTTATCAGACACTAAATTCGAATGACTAAAGTATGGAGTCAAGCACAATCAAGCTCCAAAATCATACAGTTTATGCTTAAACAACAGCCCACTCATCCGTAAGAAAGGAAAGATACCATGTGAATAAAATTAGGTTCAAGGATCACAAAAGCAGGGCTTGATCCCAACCCAACAAGCAAACTACATATAATCGGCTCAACTGTGACTGAACTGCCTAGTCTAATGGGCCATTCTTCCAAATAGTTATTCCCATTTTCAATAATATCAAAGTGTCCTCTAGACAGATGAACTACTCCTATTCAATGGGGTCATCCGAATAGCTCTTCCTTTTTCGTCAAACCGACACATAATCACACGCGACGCTCACCTTCAGAGAAGACAATTCCACATTGCTCCATGCACAATTAAGAATGAAAAGAGCACTCCAGCTCAGTCGACGCAACGAATAAGTCGGATCTCCAGGAACAAAACTTAAGGCAGAATCAAATCGGCACGATGAACAGTACCTGATCCCCTTGCTGCTCCCTCCCCAATCGCAGAAGTTCACCACGAGCTTCTGCAGCTGCCAGACGCCCCTCAGCGCCATCCCGCCTCACTCCGGGTCAACCCAGACCAGACCAGTAAGCGGCGCGGCTAGGAAGTAGGCGAGGGCGGAGGAGGAGGCGGAGGCCGGCGTCGGGTTGGACGGGAGGACGCTCTGCGTTAGGGTTTAGCCCAAGGAGCGCGGGCTAACATTAGGCCCAGTTTCGAGGCCTAGCCTCTTCCGCTTCGTAACGGTTAGAAAGGAGCCAGTGTTGTCTCAAAAAAAAAAAAAAGATCCAGTGGCCCCCCTAAAAAAGAAGAAGAAAGAAGCCGGTGGCTACACGAAATGAATGAAAAAGAAGGATGTAAAAGATAGAAAAAAAGGCGAAATCATTAATTGAGGAGTATCTTTTAAAAAGATCACTTTCATCTTTTTTTCGTAGATTTATTTATTCAAAATATTTTATCTCTTAAACCGTGCGTCCAAATCTCAAGCCGTTTTCACGGTTGGATTTCTCGCGTTGAGATCTTCAAACTAGATCCCGTGTTGATAGATTTTGACGAACGTTTTCGTTCACGAAAAAACCCAGACAAAAACCCGAATAGAGAATATGTTTTCCCCCCTTTTCGAAAGCCGTTTCCAATAGGCACGCCCGTGTCTCTTACGAAAGCAAAACCGTGCCTCTAATGAAAGAAAAAATAAATAGAAAACAAGTTTTTTTCATTTCTGAGAGACATAGTGAAAGTAAAACCGTGCCTCTCACAGAAGAAAAAGAAACATTTTTTTCTATTTTCGAGAGGCACGGGTGTGTCTCTCACGAAAGGAAAAAACAGAAAACACATTTTCTTTCTGTTTCGAAGAGGCACGGGAGCGCTAAAAGCATGACCCATGACAGCGGCTAAGAGTGCGCCGAGTGGCTTGCTCTTAGCCCACACTAAGTAATCATTGGGAGGCTTTCGAAGAGCGTTCATTAACTAGTTGCTCCAAAAAAAGTGAGGAGTCCAAATCACAAGAAACGAAGCCTCTTCACCGCTTGGCCGATCACACATGAAAAATACACGAAAATGAGAGAGCAACTAGTTAACGAGCGCTCCTTCAGGAACCTCACAATGATCAGCGCCACTTGACGTGCTCTCAGCCATTCGCCATGTGTCGCGCTCTGGGCGCTCCCTCCGGATTTTTTTTATTTTTCCGCACGCGTTTTCGGTTTTTAACTGGTTTTTTCGAGGGGTTTTTCGACGTTTTGGTTTTACACAGTCTTTCTTAGCTTTTCAATCAAAAAAATTTCAAAGAAAAATTTATTTTGCGCGAAAAAACGTGTTTTCTTTTTTCTTTTACTTTCATGAGAGTCACGGTTTTGCTTCCGCGAGAGGCACGATTTTACTTTCGCGATAGTCACGGCCATGCCTCTCGAAAATGAAAAAAAACGTGTTTTCCTTTTTTTCATGAGAGTTACGGTTTTGCGTCCGCGAGAGGCGCGGGTGTGCTTTCGCGAGAGTCACGGCCGGGCCTCTCGGAAACGAAAAAAACGCGTTTTCCGTTTTTTTCGCGAGAGTCACGGTTTTGCTTTCGCGAGAAGCATGGTTGTGTTTTCGCGAGAGTCACGGCCGTGCCTCTCGGAAAGGTAAAAAACGCGTTTTCTGTTTTTTCCTTTCGCGAGAGTCACGGTTTTACTTCCGCAAGAGTCACGGTTGTGCTTTTACGAGAGTCACGGCAGTGCCTCCTCGGAAACGGAAGAAAACGTGTTTTCTTTTTTTTTCTTACGCGAGTGTCGGCGTACTGGGAACAAGGGTACCCAGACTTGCCTGTCTGCGGCCCACGTCACGTTCCTGGTACGGCCCGGTAGGGCCCAGCTGATCGATCGGCTGCTCAAGACCCTCGCGAGGGGGGCAGCACTAGCGAGGAGAACGACCAAGACCTCCTTAGGGAGCGGCCTCACCTAGGCCGCTCCAGAGGGGCAACCAAGACCTCTCCCAAGAGTGGCCTCAGCTAGGCTGCTTCGGGAGGGCGGAGATCTCAAGGCAAGGGCTGCCTCAGGAGGAGGCAGTGACGCAAGCCATGACGAACCATGCCAGCGGGTGCCAGCGCGCGCTGGCAGGCGTAGTTTCCATATCGGTGCAAAGGAGACCGCGCAGGCGCAGGTTCCTGAGGGGCGAGACAAAGGTTTCCCCTTTGGTGCAACAAGACCGAAGACCGCAAGGACGGCGGGAAGGATTTCATCGCCGAGCCCACCACCGCATCACGGCCTGCCCTCTTTGCAGGCGAAGACCACCTTTTGTCAGGATAGGAGCGTTCTTGTGTTCCCGCTCAAATGGCCGTTGTGGGATTCCCTTCCCGCCTAAACATTTCGGGGGAAGAGGACCCTGGCTGTCTATATAAGTAGCTAGGGTTCCTAGCATAGGGGAGGGACCAACCCATTGGGACTTAGCATAGAAAAGGAGCAAGAACATCCGCTTCCTCACCCCTCTCGCCTCCTGAGCTCAGGAAACCACTGTACTTGTTCATACTCGAGCCCTCGCGAGGCCGATCCACTAAAGCAGGACGTAGGGTTTTACACCGCAAGGTGGCCTGAACCTGGGTAAACTCTTGTGTGCTCTACTTGTTTGCTTGCTTGCATTCCATTCCCACCACCAGGAGAAGAGCGAGGCGCTAGGTAGACGTGTAGTGGGAGAGATCTTCGTCACGCCCCTGTGTTCGAATATTAAGGGTTTTGCGGAGCCCGAAATCCGACATTTGACGCGCCAGGTAGGGGGCGTGTCGAAATCTCGCTTCTCCGACGACCTCGCTCCACTCTTCTCCGTCGACTTCGTTTCACCGCCATGGTGGACACTCGCCGAGCACGCGCCGCCCGCCGCGCCACCAACGTCGCTCAGACGGCGCCCGCGGGTAACGGCGCACCACTCCGCCCCAACTCACCGGTCACCAACGCGGCCACGGACCCAGCCGTTCACGAGCAGCAGGACTCGTCGTTACCGCTGTCCGTGCGGCGCGAAGGCCGCACGGCGACCCCGTCACCTTCACCGGCCGCGACGTCGTCCTTGCTGGTCCGCCGAGGGCCGGTCTACCAGTAGCCTGCGCTACTGATGGCGCGGGAGCTCCTATGCTATCGTCCGGCGGACGACCTCTACGACGAGTGGCTCCACCACATCACCGAGCTCGTCAACGCCGCCGGGGAGGCGCCCGCACCGACCCATTCCTCTCGCCCTCCGTCGCCCATGGCGGGGAATGAGGACCGTGGCGCTCCGCCCCCACCTCCACCGCGCGGCGCCGGCCAGGGGCTCAGGTGCGAGGCTCCACGGTGCGAACAGCCCCGTACGGCCCCCGCGCGCGACGAGGAGAGCTGCCAGGTGGTCCCGCGCCCCCAGGCAGAAGCGCGCATGCTCCCCGCCCAGCAGCACCAGAACCGCGCTCCACAGGAGGTGGTGGCGCCCGCACCCCAAGATCCAGCACCGTAGGCGCAGGGGGCACCAGCAATCATGAGCGTGGCTGGATGCCGCGCCCTAGCTCCTGAGCTATGGTGCCTCGTCTGGCCCGGCAAGTTCAAGCCAGACCTACCTCCGCGTTACGACGGCACCGCCGACCCGGCGGAGTTCCTCCAGCTCTACGAGCTCAGCATCGAGGCGGCAAACAACACCGAGCAGGTCATGGCGAACTGGTTCCCCGTGGCCCTCAAGGACGGTGCGCGCTCCTGGCTCCTGAACCTTCCTCCAGGATCCATCTCTTCTTGGGAGGAGCTTCTTGAGTGCTTCATCGCCAACTTCCAAGGTACCCGCGACCGAGCTCCAGCGGCCGCAGACCTGCGCTGCGTGAAGCAGCAGCCTGGGGAGACCCTGCAGAAGTACATCCAACGCTTCAACACCGTGCGCCTCAAGATCCCCAGGGTCTCCGACGAGGCCATCATCTTGGCATTCTCCGACGGTGTTCGCGATGTCAGGATGAAGGAGGAGCTTGCCATCCACGAGGATCTGTGCATGGCCCTCGAGATGTTCAATCTCGCGGTGAAGTGCGCCAGGGCAGAGGAAGGCCGCCTCTCCCTCCTGGAACTGCCTGAGGCGGAGGCCGATGACAAGAAGACCAAGGCCAAGGAAGCAAAGTGCAAGGGCCCAGCCGTGCTGGCCGTGGAGCCAGAAGTGAAGCGCGACTGCGGCTACAACGACCCTCCAAGAGACAACCGTCCGTACTGCGTCTTCCATGATGTCCATAGCCATAACACCAACGACTGCCAAGAGCTCAGGGCGATGCGCGGCGGGCGCGTCGAGCAGCGCCCTGAGCACGACAACCGTGGCTACGGCCACAGAGGAGGCCGTGGCGGAGGACGCTGGGACGGCAGGAACTCGCGCCAAGGATGGCATGATCAGCCTCGTGAAGACTGCTGGCAGGAGCAGCCTCGTGACGCCCCTTGGCATGACCAGCCTCGCGAGGGTCGCCCTCAGGGCAACGCGGGCCTGCCTCCGCTGCCACCACCGCCAAGAAGGAACGACGACGACCGCCAGTGAGACAAAGCAGGGGGCTTCCAGGAGCCACCCGGGGTCGCGTGCATCCTGGGAGGAGCCCACGCTCTGGCTTCTCACCGCATCTTCAAGCAGTTCGCTCGTGAGGTGAACGCGGCGCTCCCCAGACCTGACGCCGCACGCAACCTCAGGTGGGCCAAGCAGATCATCGCCTTTGACCCCAAGGATCAGCTCAGGTGCACCTCGACCATCAGTAACGTCCGTGTGACCAAGACCCTCATCGATGGTGGGGCAGGGCTCAACGTCCTCTCCGTTTAGATCTTCGGGACTCTTCAAGTACCCTACGATCAGTTGCACCCGACCAAGCCATTTTACGGAGTCACAGATGGCTCCACCCTCCCGATGGGGCAGGTCCGCCTCCCCGTCACCTTCGGTGACTGCGACAACTATCACACCGAGCTCATCGACTTCGACGTCGCCAACATCAACCTCCCGTACAACGCCATCCTAGGGTATCCGGCCCTCTCCAAGTTTATGGCGGCGACCCATCATAGCTACAATGTCCTCAAGATGCCTGGAAGCGGCGGAGTCATCACGATCGCCTGCGACGAG